TCAGTGAAATATTTGAAGTGGTTCTGAAAATATTAATTAATCTCCATTTTTTCCTAAAACATCAACACTCCGAGTTTTTGTAAGGAAACATTTTTGGACCATAGTTTATAAAGCAAACTAACATTATTTTTTCATGTAGATTCACACCCTTAAATATTCGCATATCATTAAGGAACACCAGATATAATCAAGGAAAATTGAGATACCTATCGTGTTTTTTGGATGTTATGTGACATGTAAATAATCACTTTTTACGTCAGTTTGCCGGTCTGTTCGCTAATCTCAAAACCGCCTATAACTCGAGAAGCACTGCTCGGAGTTCGGAGAAATTTTTACAAAATATTACTATTATGCTAAGGGCACTAGTTGTAGTTTTTGAAAATCTATCTAGGGGCGACAAAGAAAAAAGTCAAAATCAGAAAAATAAAAATCGCTCAAACTTCGTTTTTTGACGTTTCAGTCGATCATTTTCGGAAACATTGTAGGGGTTAATAATTTAGGTTTGGGGTTGCATACACCTCCAATCCCAGTAATTCTATGCACATATGAGGCCATACCTCATCCATCATAGATGATCCCGTAAATTTACCCTTAAAACTTATCTCCTATACAGGGTGTACATATTTGATGTATGACAGTGAAAATTGGTATACAAGGGTTTTTTAGTACGAGAAAACGAACCATGGGCATAGTTTTACTGTAGCCGCTAGAGGGCGCTCTCTACTGTACCTGTAGTGTATTAAAATTACCGAAAATTTTTTCTTAGTGCAATTTTTTGCTTTTTGAGTAAACAAACTGATTCTTCGCATTTTTCAACATAAAAAAGCTCTCCTGTGAGTTTTCGTTATAGTTAGCCGTTTTTGAGATATTTAGATTTTTAACGTTCGATGCATTTTTAATTATTTATGGGAAAATAATATTTTTTTTCGATTTGGGCATTACAAGTAATTAAGATGATCGTTTAGATTGTGTTTTTAAACACAGCAATAATTCCTAACTCCAAATAAACACAAAAAAACAGAATATTAATTTGTTTAATTTTCCAATATTATTTATAACAAATTAAATTAATTATTTACAACTAAAATGCTATTGGGTAGTCAGGAGAAACATACAAAATCTAAAGTAGTTGATCGAAATGTAAACCCAATTGTTCAATACACAATTCGCATCTACGAATGATCGAACGTGGTATAGCATTATTCAAATAAGGCCTTATTTCATCACATGCATTCCTGATTCTGTCTATTAGCATATCTCTTGTGGTTACAGGAGTCTGGTACACTTTTTCTTTTAGAAATCCCCACACAAAGAAATCTAATGGATTTAGGTCAGGGGATCGTGGAGGCCAGGCGACTGGTCCTCCACGGCCGATCCATCTTTCTGGATAATTTTCATCCAGCCAGTTTCCAACTATTCTCGAATAATGAGCTGGACAACCAGCAAGCTGGAACCAGGCCAATCTTGTTAAATCTAGCATAACATCATCCCACATATTTGCATGTTCAGCCTTTAAAAATTCCAAGAAGGTCGCAGCATTTAACCTTGCAGGCAAAAGGTAGGATCCAAATAGTCGATTACGGTAGATACCAATCCACACGTTCACACTAAATTCATGCTGAAAATTTCTGTTCCGAACTGCATGCGGATTTTCATGCGACCAAATATGTTGATTATGAAAATTTACCACTCCACGTCTAGTGAAGCATGACTCATCGGTTCATAAAACGTTACTTAAAAAATCCCTATTATTATCAGTTCTATCCAGAACCCACTGACAAAATGTGATTCTTCGTTTTCCGCCCGCTGGCTGTAGTCCTTGCACAGGTTGCAAATGGTAAGGACGTCTATGGTCATTTCTAAGAACACGGTGAACATGGCTTGCTGAAATTCCCAAGGCACCAGAAACTCTCGCTAACACTTGTGGTCGGATCTCTATCAAACTCGCGCAGAATCATACGGGTAAATCTGCGCTGACGAACATTTATGTTTTGATCCCTTTGAAGATTTCCAAAAAAACATTTTTAATTATTTGGCGATGCACTCTTACAAATACTGAGCCAGTTGGATGTCGTCTGTTTGGAAATCCTCGTGCGTATTCTCTGGCTGCTTCTGCTGCGGTTCCATTTACAAAGCCATACACAAAATGAATATCCGCTAACTCTTGATGGGAGAATAAAAATGGCATTTTTATAAAACTTACAAAAAAAGAAACAGGTAAAAGAAACTAAATTTCGTGCATTCACAATTGCAAAAAAACGTTTCAAGCTTTAACAGACAACAAAACTAACTGTCAACTAATTGACGTTTAACCTTATTCTGCTTTCAATTTCAAAAATATTTGCAGGCACAGCCTACTTCTAAAAATTATTGAGATACTGACTTTTTAACGTTATTTTATCATAAATAATTAAAAATACATCGAACCTTAAAAATCGAAATATATCAAAAACGGCTAACTATAGCGAAAACTCACAAGAGAGCTTTTTTATGTTGAAAAGTGCGAAGAATCAGTTTTTTTATTCAAAAAGCAAAAAATTGCACTAAGAAAAATTTTTTGGTCATTTTAATACACTACTGGTACAGTAGAGAGCGCCCTCTAGCGGCTACAGTAAAACTATGCCCATGGTTCCTTTTGTCGTACCAAAAAACCCTTGTATACCAATTTTCACTGTTGTACATCAAATATTGTTCGAAATATTTAAGAAAAACTATTTTAGAAAGTAAATTTAAACACCCTGTATTTCGGAAGCCACGCATTTTTTGACCCATGCTTATATAGACTTTATGCATTAATTTTAAAAGCTCTATCGAATCTTAAAGTTATACAACAATAAACTGAAACACCCTGTATACCTCCTGCAATCGGATGTCGTACGCGGACCTCGTCCCCCGACGGACAAGCGTCGTCGTCGGTAGTCGTACGCCGTAGTCGGCAATAGCTTCTACACGACTGTCAAGTTGGTATCAAGATCTCCTAGTTTATTTTAAAATTGTATCTCGGTTTTTCGTGTTTTATTTTTATTTTTACGAAAACAGTGCACTCTAGGAAACGAAGACAAGAGTAATTATTTGTAGAAAACAGAAGGTATAATTCGATAAATTGCACGTATCGAAAAAAAAAACAGTGGCGCACAAATTTTATTTGGAAACAATGCCACTAATCCCCTGCATCTCCGCCACTGGTGCACGATAATTTTAAGTGAAGACTTTTGAATGTGGACAATACTTAGGTAAATCCACGTACCAAATTTTAGTTCATTCCAGTTGACGGATTTGAAGATATTAAAAAAAATATTTTTCATTTGTAAACTTCAATCTTTCAATGAAGCGGTCGAGGAAAAAATGTTACATAGAAGTCCCCCCTTAAAATGCGGTCCTGTGTATGTTGTTAGTTGACGGCATTTTGTGTACACATACTAAGCAGAATTTTTGTGTGCTTTTGCATCTCACAGTCTACACGCAGAAAGTTTCTCGATTCCGTACGATCATAATGAAGCTAATCTATTATTGACTTGAATGTAAGCGATATGGTTGCAGAAATATGTTCAAGAGTAATGGTGCGCAAGAGCATGAGTGGTATTTTGGTTCCTTTTCAAAGCAAACGCTTTTTACTTTAATCTCTGTTTATGATACTGAGGTCGTTTCCGCTTGCCGACTTATTGTTCGTCACTTTTGATTACGTATTAAAAGTATGTTTAGTAGCGGCACGTGATGCCTGTGCACGTGCGTGAGTTCTAGTATGAGTCGTCTGAAGTCTAAGCGACTATAGCGGATATATAAAGGCGCATACAGACATCGCGAGGCGTGCGTCGCGAATGGTTCATCTGTTCACAGTGAGCATTCGCAACTTGTGTCAACGGACGGGCGTTGCGCGCTCATGCATCATGGAGTACGTGCACAGTGTTGCCAGACGATTATTTTTTTCTGCCTAGATATTTTGCCAACATTTCCCTAGATTTCCCTAAAAACTTAATATTCCTTTTATGTATCTAATATTCATCTTAATATTGGTTGTAATTTGGGGTAGGAGTATTGATAAACAAATGCAAACAAATTTTTTACGTATAGTTAGTTTAATTAGCGTAACAGGTATTTATTAAAATATATAATATAAACTAAAATACATGATAACTTAAGTATGCATATTATAAAAAATATAAAAAAAATTATTCTGTATAAATAGCGAACGAACATAGCATAATATAAAATATTTTGTTTTTAAGGAAACAATAAAGCAAAATAATCAAAAGCAGGTATTATAATTTAATTGTGAGTTTTATTGTACATTGACGAATCCATTCTTCTAAACAAATCATTAGGGATGCTAAAGTTGTAGCAACTGTCATTTTTCAATAAAACTGAAATTCCACTTAAACTTTCAGTCGATCATTTATTTATTATTTTAGTTTTGTTTAGATTTATTTCGGAAAATATCCTTTCGGCATTTGCACTTGAATGTGGCAAACTAAAGAGATTAAACACAAAATTAGTTAGGGTTGGAAACATAAGAGAATCATTTGATTTTAATGTTGAAATTTTTTTCCACAATTTTTGAACGCTTAAATTTGTATATTCACTTAAATCAAGATTTCTTAGGCCACGTCATTCTTTGTCTATTTCATTTACGTTATCAGTTGTCAAGTTGGGAAAATGGAAAACTAAAGGCCCTAATGATGCTTGCTTTTTTGCAATTACTTCATCTGGTGATATAAGTGACATATGTTTTAGGGTAGCGATAGTTTTGCTTTTATTATCAAATCATTTATAAATTTGAAATCAACTTTCTATTAAAAAATCTAAACACCTCTTTCTGAAGTTAAATAATTCTGCATCATTTAGTTTATGTTCATTATTGCTTATAACACCTGTTACGTAAACACCTAAATAAATGTTTTCTATTTCCACAAAGTTATGAGGATTTTTATATTCTACTTTTTCAATCAAAGTTTTATCTAAATAATTCTTTTTCATTTAACAATCCAAAATTGTTCTTAACACATGTTCAACTTGTTTATATGAAATGTGTATTTTAATATTTTGGGATTGCATTTCCAAATTTAATTCCATAAAAAACGGCAGCACAAAGTTTAAAAAATGTAGATACGAAATGGTAGATAAATTTTGAAGAAAATTTAAGATATTTTGTGCTTGAATGCCATTTTTATTGTAGCACTGATCCGTAAAATATAATTTTAAAGCATCATATTGCTTAAGTATTCTTTTTACAACAGGCAATACAGAGTTCCACCTTGTTTGAGAGGGTTGCAAAATTTTATGAGGTTTTACTGCTACGAACTCCAGAAATTCTGGAAATTCAGTTTGTCTTTTAAATCAGTATTGTAGCTACGTATCAACATCTCTAGCCATTTGTTCAATATCATCTGGTAATTTAGCACTAGCATAATTAACACATAAGCTAAACGAGTGACAAACACATTTCATAATGAATAATTTAGGAATATCGGCTTTTAGTTTGGTGAATAATGAATTATGAATTCCCATCATAGCACGTGCACCATCTGATGTAAAGCCTATTAGATTTTCTTTATAATTAATATTAGATTTTAAAAAATAATTTGCAATAGTGTTGTAGCGTCCTTCTGCCGTTCCACCTGCTACAAACAATAGACCAAAGAATAAGTCAGTAATTTTGTGTTCATAAAAAATACGTGGCACTAAAGCTAAATGTTTAATTGCGCCTTTATCGGTAGATTCATCTGCAATTAATGAAAATTTATTTGTTTGTAATAAATTACTAGAATTTTCAAAACTGTACTGTCCTAAAACATTATTGACAATAACTGTAGCTTTGGTGCGAGAACATGTGAAATTTTTAGCAATCTCCGAATCGTCAAATGATATTCTATTAATTTCTGATAAATGGCCTAAAGTATTGAATGAAATGTTATGTTCAGCTGCATATGCTGCAATTCGAATTTCAGCAGTTTTGATTTTGTTATTTAAAGGTATTTTCTCCATATAAGATGTCATATCAGTCAAAGTTTTTTGTGTGTGTAATCATTTTACCAATTTGGTGTGTTGTTTTCCTGAAGAATGTTTCTGGATTTCGGATTTGATACATATAAAATATTTATTGCATGCCTTGCAGAATGCATAATTGGATCTTTTCTTGCTGCTCCTCAGCCAATCTTTAAATTTTACCTTTTTTTGTCACTCAGAATAGCTTGCTCTGATTTGACGTGCTCTCCAAACGTGAGCTTAACTCCCAAATACTTGATATTTTTCTTCTAGCTTATTTCAGTGCCATCAGCAGTAAAAGCCATAGACAATTCCTCCCTCTTTTTTTGTTAATAGAACAGCATCGGTTTTCTGAGCAGCAAGGTGCAGACTATTGCCGTTCTTGAGATTTTCCAACCGTTTGCGCTCTAGCACATGTATAAACCGTCATTGGTAATGGCGCGCTCCAGGCGATAAAAAGGCTGCCGTTGTTGCTGGTCTTGGGCGATCGGAAGTCGCCTTTGGAGCGGGAGCAGGTGGCGCTCGGACCAGATTTGCTGCTGCTGCTGCTGCGATGCTCGCTTGTCTTTTTCATCGATTTTTCTTCTTCCTCCTCGAGCGCTCTAACAGGATCGAGAATTATGTACGCGCCGCGCTGGCCGCACCGCATCGCCGATAGCAACGCACATCGCATCATCCATCTACTCGATAAAACCTCTGCTTATCCTGTACTAGTATTATCTGATGATGGCACTTTCATAGTAGCAAAATTAGGGATTTATCAAGTCAAGTCGGTTTATATTTTCATAAACTACTTGATCTGACTTGAAAGTAAAATTACTCGAAACGCTAACCCAACAAACATCTCAAGTTATAATTACGTTTTAAAAAATCTCATACAAGTACGAAAGTACAAAATGTACAAAAGTTAGTTAACGAAGTGTGGCGAAATTACAAATTTCAAGCAAAATCCGTCAAGGAGCTAGATATTATTGTATCTAAGAGAATCGAAGAAGAATTGCAAGCGGCGACTAAGAATACATCCAATCTACTAAATTTTTTTCTAATGTGAGTGACGAAATCATTTTAGGTACCTACGAGTACTAATATTAGAAATCGCCAAAAAGTTCCTCTTTACTGATTAGAAAATAGTATGGCCTATCTCAAAGTATAGAGGTAATATACATTATTTTATAGATTGATTTCTTATGATTGACTTCGTCAATTGGTTTCAAAGTACAGGATGTTAGTTTTATACATATATACAGAAAACTAGTACCCTGTATTTTGTGACCGTAACGAATTGCTCGTTTAAACATATTAGATTTAAAGGTTTTGTATTTATCATATATATTGCCATACTTTGCATTTATGTAGCTCAATAAGAGAATCTTTAGCAGAAGCATTATTTTTAGGCAACCTGTAAACCTGCAGAAAAAACACAAATTATACAGTCAGCTTCAAATATTAAAAAAGAGGAAGAAGATAAAATAAATCCCGGTAATAAATCACAACAGCAATGTGAAATTAATGAAAATACAGATAAACAGAGAGCAAAACCTTCTCGGGAAGCTATGAAGAATAAGATTGCTCTACTCGAAAAAATCTGAATGCTTTGTATTCTGCCAGAGATACTATGCCAAAGCCGTGCTGAAGTGGATAAACAGATCATTAAGTTGCGCGAGGAAATAAAAACAGCAAACCAGTCTTTAAACAGGAAGGTTCAAAACGCAGTTGCCCAGAAGAAACACAGGGATGGTATGAAAAGAAAGTTAGAAGATATTTGTCATGAAAATCCAGAAATAAAAAAAAAGACTATCTCTGAGGGATTCAGTGGGACGTCCTAATCTTGAAAGCAATCAACATTCACTATTGAAAACAATCGCGGATATAGCTTTATTTGGGAGTGCAGCAGATGATAGAAGACGAATGGAATCAATTCGCAGCGTAAAAACTCTTGATGAACACACACAAGAATTACGTAAAATAGGATTACATTAGTCGCAGTTTGACATATCTTCGTTTGATTCCCAGAAAATCTAATTCTGTAGAGGGACGAAGACATGTATCGACATTCCCTGTTAAGCTCATTCGGACTCAAACTGATCACCACAAGAGCCTATATAGATAGCAAGTTCGCTGAAACATCAATCCATTATTTAGAGAACATAGCATCCATACTTGGACCAGATCAAGTATTTTTCATATCTCAAGATGATAAAGCTCGAGTCCCTATTGGCGTAACTGCGGCAAATAAGCAAGCACCTCTTCTAATGCACATGGAATATAGAATCAAATTGCCTGATCACGATTGGGTAATCGCTGAGCGTCATAAATTAATACCATCTGTTTATGCTGGTATCAAAATCACTTCCAATATGCTAGGACAACCGCAAGCCGTTAGATATTCTGGTCCAAAATACATCGCTATTCGAAGTGGAAAGCATAGTTCACCTACTGCTAATACTCATGGTCAGAATTTCGAGACGCTTTCGAGAGTTTCGACCATTGGCTGAAACTGACTGGACTACTAAAACCAGTGGTAATCATGACGGTTGATGGAGGGCCAGATGAAAATCCACGTTATCAAAAAGTCATAGAGTTTGCTATACAACACTTTAAGCGACATGATCTCGATGCATTGTTTTTAGCTACCAATGCTCCTGGAAGAGGTGCGTATAACAGAGTAGAGCGCAGAATGGTTCCTCTTGGTCGAGAATTGGCTGATTTAATATTTCCTCATGACCATTTTGGGCCTCATTTGGATGAACGTGGCGTTACAATTGATGAACATTTAGAAATATCTAATTTCGAATTTGCTGGAAATGTATTAGCCGAAGTATGGAGTTCAATGAAAATTTATGGCTATAATGTTGATGCAAAATATGTTGGGGCAGGTGAACAAGATCTTCCTGATTTTCCAGACATTGAATGGTATTCAGAACATATGCGTAAGAGCCAATACTTGCTTCAAATTGTAAAATGTAGAAGTACAGAATGCTGTCGTCCAAGAAGTGGCCTATTTAGACTACTAGACAATAGGTTTCTTCCACCACCTGTAAAAGTAAAACAAACAGTTGATGACTTGGTTTTGGATGAAGGAGGGCAATTTCTTAATCTTCCAGTCAATTTAGCTCTACGCTTAAGTGCTTCACTCAAAGATTTCCTGCAAATGTGATAAAGTTGGTGTTTTCTACTATATATTATCAAAATATTCATTGTTAATATTTTAAACCTGTAACACCCTGCTACATTTTTATTATTTGTGTTTGATAAGAAGAAAAATAAGATCTCAATAGTTGGGCCAACTGAAGTGGGAAGGGGCTCGTATAAGTTTTTTACGTCTATTTTTGTTTATACAACTTTATTCTTATGAATGATAAATAATAGAAGAACAGATTAAGGCAGGGTTGCCTTTGCCATTCAAAATACTTCATCGGACAAGGCAATTTTTGGTCTTGCACATATTATATCCTTCGGAGTACCTCAGGTTATAAAAGAGCTCGTCCAAAAATGGGCAATTTTCAAATTAGGTATCTTATGGTACCATTACTAGGAAACAGGCTCATCGGCTTCGGCTTTGTGCTCACGTCAAGTATATGGTACGATTGTCACTCTAGGAACTACGTTGCATACTTGCGTACTAATTCGGATAATGAAAAACAAATACATATTGCAGTAATTTTTTACCAATCCCCCTTTATGCATTTTCATAGTTTCAAATATGGTGAATGTACCATATTCTCGTTATAATGTACACCCACCATATTTTTAATTAATATTAAAAATTCCACGATAGTTTTGAGGTTCAGTTAGCATTGTTTTATGAACCTTTTTCACACCTCCTGTGCACTTTAAGGTCAGAACGGTTGTTTGGTACAAAAGTTGTAATTTTATACACGAAGCTCGCTGAGGATTATTGTGAGAATGTTATCAACCTTTTACTCCAACCCAAATTCGACACAGTGTTAGGTTACTCCTACTAACAACCTTCGGCTTCCGTTTTCGGATTTTAGCATTTTAAACTGCTCTCGTAAGCGAGATATGTGCTTTTCTATCTTCTGTGAAGAAAATTCGTGTCACTAATTTTTTCTGTCTGTCAGCTTGTTTATGTATATTTGCATTATTCTATCCTCGCAAGCTCGAGATGGACTACACTGATTTTAAAGAAATTTTGCTAGAAGTAAGCTGTCGCGATCGTAGTAAGTAATGCTTCTTAATTTACTCTGAGAAACTTGAGCTGCTATGGCTCTAGTACTCATTGTTGGGTCGTCTTCGAACATTTCTAAAATGTCCTCTTCAATTTGTAATTTTACAGGTTGAGCGGGTCTTTCGTACGTTAGATTTATGTCCACTAGTTCATTGTTTTCGTCAACATGGGCCATTTTTTGGACAAAGTAATCAGATAAATGAAAGTATACACACTGTTGAAACACTGATACAGCTGATCGAACCAAATACTCGTAGTGTAAACCATACAATAACTCAGAAAGTTTGACAAAGTTAGATAAACGATAAGAGTAGAAAACAAAAAACGCTAACATTTTACACGGCAGTGTTCGAGAAAATCAAAAAATCTATGTAACAACATCCTTATTTTGTAAATTTTTTAATCTTTTACCATTTATTTTATTATCTAACTTTTATATAGGTGATGTTTGGTATATCAACTTCTTTTGACGAGTCCTACAAGCAGCTAAAATAAATGACTCAACTTTGAAAGCACCCTGTATACTGCGGCGGCGCAAGTCAGCAGACTATAGTGGAAGTAACAACTCCAAAGATCTTTTATCAGATTAACGGTGAATTGGCAATAATTATCAAAGCCGCAGCACAGCGAAAGCAGCATTACTATGCAAGAATATACAGGAGAAAAAACGTCTTAATGGATTTCAACATCCGCCTCTAAATTATGAATGAAAGTATGTAATTCTGATGGTGTGGAACATTAGCTTACATACAGAGTGTTTCGCTAGTCATTGATGGACGTATACTTTCCTCTTTATTAACTGACTAGACAGTCTGTTAACATAAGTTATCTGTTGCATCATAGAAGTGTATGTATAAACGTCATTTCGCATTATTCGCAATAATTTGATCATTCGAAAGTTTCGGTGAGCTGGAGAAGAGAGGCTGCTAGTCCTCTCAGACGAGAGACCTTGAGGTTATCGAAGACACCTCGTAAATAGTGGCAGCTGTTTTGAAAAGCTAGGCTAATTGTTTAGAGCTAAGAATTACTTTACTCCACATGATCTCGTCACTACTGGTCACATGCATGGGGTGCTGCAGCCCCTACTACATTATCCATGATCGTTGCTGTCCAAAAGATCGATGACTCTTCTTTAATGGACAGTCTCGGAACCCTTTTACAGGAGGGCTTTCCCAGTTCTACTGAGGTTAGCCAGATCAAAAATCGGATTTAAAAAGTTTCTTTAAGCTTCTCATAACAGCCGCGGTGTTCTGGCATTTAGGCTTCTGTTTGCGCGGGTCCTTCTATGTTAAAGAAAAACTCGGACACTACTATTTCTTCATTTCCAAGATAATGGTTGTCAATATACATTTAGCACTCCTTAAATATGAGCTATCAGTTCTTGATAGAAGCACGTGAGACTTGGCGGCATTTGGATTACAGCCTTGTGATTACGAAACATTATTACTTCTAGTGTAAATAAATAAACTGATTTAGTTATTTCATGCAATATAGAAATAAATATAGGTGACAGCAAGCTATAAACATATATTTATTATATTATAAAAATGTATAAAAAACTTCATACAGGCATAAGTTTATGGAGGAAGTAACACTTTTATAGGATACTTGTGAAAGATCTTGTTTGCGAATTTCTTAAATATTATGGCTAGGTTATCTTCCAGCACAGGTTTCACTTCGTTGGCAACTTGTTTCCAATTTTCGTTCAAGAAGGAATTCATCGCTCTACCTGAAAAGAAATGAAAATTCAGATTACCGCTTATATACTAAGTGACATATAAATCCAAACACCCAGTTTAAATGGTTTTCTTTTAATAAAAGTTGGTGAATGTATTTATCTTACTGTAAATAACAAGTGAAAAAATGTTCAGCCTTATCAGTTGGACATTCCGGTTTTTATACTGCTTTTTTTTAATTCACTAACGCTCTAAAAATGAATATTTCAGCCGCAGTAAAGAATCAACGTTGGCGGATTTTGGTTCTTGACATCCTTTACGATCGGTTACGATGCCTAGAGTACGGAGACCTGTACGATTTCGTCAACTTAGTGAGTTTGATAGGGGCCGTATAGTGGGACTTCGGGAATCTGGACTTTCTTTTTGGGCAATTGCGGTTAGAGTGCAAAGAAGTGTAGACACTGTGGTTAGGTGTTGTCAGGCATGGCTTCGAGAAGGCCGCACGCAAAGAGCAAGGGGCACTGGACGCCGCCGTAGAACAACAGACCGTGAAGATCGCCGCCTAAGATTATTGGCCTTAAGGGACCGTTTCTCCACTACCAGGTCCATTGCAAATGAATGGTTTGCAGAACACGGAACACCTATTGGCATGCGAAGTGTTTACCGACGAATGAGAAGTTTTGCCTTGTTTTCATACCGGCCACACTGGGTCCTCCCTTTACCTCGAGAACACCGACGTAATCGCCTTGAGTGGTGCAGACAACGGTCACTCTGGGATCAGGAATGGAACAGTATTGTCTTTAGTGACGAGTCTCGATTTTGTTTAGGCATGCACGATGGTCGTGCCAGGGTTAGAAGGCGACGTGGTGAAAGAAGGAATCCACAGTTTTTTGTTGAAAGACATGTTCATCACACTGTTGGAGTTATGGTTTGGGGTGCTATAGCTAATGGTTCCAGGTCACATTTAATCTTCATCAGAGGTAACATGAACGCGCACCGTTATATCCACGAAGTTCTAGAACCCCATCTTTTACCCTATCTTGACACCCTGGCAGATCCAACTTTCCAACAAGATAATGCCCGACCACATGTTGCAAGAGTCACAATAGACTTCTTTCAACATAATGATGTCACATTGTTATTATGGCCACCAAGATCTCCCGACTTATCCCCAATTGAGCACGTGTGGGATATGATGGGTAGGAGATTGCTCAATTTTCAACGTCCTCCACAGACTCTAGAAGCACTTCGAGAGGAGTTGGTGGTTGCCTGGAATGAGATACCACAGGAGGGCATTGACCACCTGATCAGAAGCATGCCTAGGCGCGTTGGAGAATGCGTAGCACATCAGGGTGCATCCACACATTATTAAAGGTCAAAGGGCTTTAAAGCAGTGCAATCATTTTGAAATTTTTATCATTTACTTATTATGCTTCATTAAGTACCTATACAAAATTTTATTAAAATATACCATTTAAACTGGGTGTTCGGATTTATATGTCACTACACACACCAAAATCCGCCAACGTTGATTCTTTACTGCGGCTGAAATATTCATTTTTAGAGCGTTAGTGAATTAAAAAAAAGCAGTATATAAATCGGAATGTCCAACTGATAAGGCTGAAAATTTTTTCACTTGTTATTTACAGTGAGATAAATACATTCACCAAGTTTTATTAAAATAAAACCATTTAAACTGGGTGTTCGGATTTATATGTCGCTTAGTATATATGGCGTATGAACATTTTGCGGTAATTCCCCAATCTCGAAACAAAGTTCATTCCATTATTTCAAAATCTACTTCAGTACCAGGAAAGAGGTATTGAAAATGCTAAATCACAATAATTTCTAATTTCAAAAAAATGCATAAAAATCGAAAAATGAAAAATTGAACAAATTAAAGTTATGATATATCACAAAAAAGAAACAACTTGCTTAGTCTGCTCGTACGTACCTAAATCTTCATCTCCATTAAAGAGATCATCTAGCTGGATACTAGCGTGTCCAATAGTGAAGTCGACAAAGAAGTCCTTAATGTTATAGTAGATGTCACCATCTTTCTTTACTCTCTCTGCTCTCACTATCGCTGTAGCGTCAATATCAGCTAAAATAAGTAATACTATACACGCTTGTCTTCGTTTGTGTAAATTGATGTGAATGGCGAATTGAGGAATTTGTGTTTGGGAGGCCGTAGTGATCCGTCCAGGAAAATGATTTTCGTTTCGGCTTGGGTTGTGGTGGGGGGGGGGGATACTGGGGCAACTTTTGGGACCTGAAGTGGTGATTTAACAAAGCGAGAGGCATGAATTCGATATGTTATGGAACATATGATTCAGTGTAATATTTTCAGCAGACTCACAGTAATTTGCGTTACTCATTCCGTTTCCAGAAATGGGCATCATAAGGATTCTACCATCTATCAGATACTTGCATTCAACGCGTAAGTGTGGTAAAAATATCTTTATTTTCATTCGGTCCTTATCAAAGTCCACCCTGAAACAGAAATGATCCTTAAAAAAGTCGGTCGCCATTCTATAAAATCTAAAATACTAACAAACATTTCGTCGCCAATAACACGAAGCGGCGTATCTCAGAAAATACGAAAATTGAGTTAAGCCGATTTTATTACATAAAAAAGGTTGTTCTACGATATCAAGAAGTGGCATAAATCAGTCTCTAATACATTCAGAGTTATAGAAAAATTATATATAAATTCGCGGTTGGCGTTTTGTATCGTCCGCCGTCGCAAAGTCTTTTGGACTGTGCTAATGTCTTAGATAATTTGCTACCAGTCATCGTTAATGATTTTGACAATGTTATTGTTTTGGGTGATTTGAATCACGATTTTCTGAATTCAACTAATATCATATCCTCGAGTTTTGAGGTAACTGGCTTTTCACAGTTAGTTACATCTCCTACACGGGTGACAAACGACACCGCTTCATTGCTTGATCCATTTTTCACTAATCAGCCGGAACTTGTCACTGGCTGTTTGGTACTTGATGCTCATGAAATATCTGACCATAAGCTTGTTATGTGTACTCTGAAACTTAGTGCTGGCAAGATGCATCAAAAATTCATATGCGTGAGAGACTTCCGTGAGTTTGATGAGGCAGCTTTCATTTCAGATCTGTGTACCTCTAATCTTGATGACTTATATTTTATGAATAACATAGATGCTAAAGTGGAACATCTGACGACAACCCTCACAAATATTTATAACAAACATGCTCCGATTAAGACACTACGTGTTAATAAACCGCCATCTCCTTGGTTGGATGAGGGAATGAAAACGCTTATCAAAGAAAAAGATCAAATATAAAGCTAGTAAATCACTTGAAGACCTTGATAAATTCAAACAGCTGAGGAATAAGGCACTACATAAAATTCGAATGAAAAAGAAAGAGTATATTCAGAATCTAACTGATCAAAATAATCTAAAAACTTTATGGTCTGGGCTGAATAGGCTTAACATAAAATCTCGTTCAAAACAAACAATACCAGATGAGCTAGCCGATGCAAATAGTATTAACAATTATTTTATGTCAGTTTATAGTTACGACAGTGTCTCAGAAAATGTATGTCGGTTTTATGACAGCAACAAATTGGACAATCGAAATCGTTTTTCTTTGCGAGTTGTCGAGCCGGTGGAAATATTGAAGGCAATCAAAGATATCAAATCAGATGCAAAAGGAATTGACACCCTCTCACTAACCATGGTCAAAGTAAGTCTTCCCGTAACTTTTTTCCATATCACCCACATAATAAATTCATGTTTGGAAAATGGCTACCACCCTAAGCTGTGGAAGCTGGCTCTAATTATACCTGTCCCTAAAATATCTAAACCTACTGAACTTAAACATCTTAGACCCATTAGTTTGTTGCCGGTGCTATCGAAAATTTTGGAAAAAATTATACAGCAACAAGTTGTCCATTACATGGAGGAACTAAAAATAATATCGTCATGTCAATCGGGCTTCAGGAAGCACCATAGTACCACCTCGGCACTGTTAGACCTTTGTGATAATGTTATTAGGGCAGTTGACAAAAAGTTAGCAACAGCAGTGGTATCAATTGACTATTCCAAAGCATTCGATCGAATAAATCATAAACTTTTGTGCGCCAAGCTGAGGTATATAGGCTTCGATGATGCTGCTGTCAGTTTTTTCCGTAGCTATTTGTCCGGTCGCTCGGAAATTTTGAATACATAGATTGAAAAATGGGTTAATCGTTCCTCATTTTTAAAAAGCTTGTAAACATGAGCAGATATACCCACAAATTCAATTTTGTAGCAATAATACCTTTTTGTCAGCAACAACTGAAATATCGAGAAAATATTTAAAACGCTCTCCTGTAAAATTGTAAAAAAGTGAGATACACAGCGTTGCTCATAATTACGGCTAAACATGCTACTTTCATCCGTTTGTCCACGGACAGCTGTGTCGTGCTGTTTGGCAACTCATAAGTATGGTCTAGGCTTAACGAACGAAAGATAGCAGACTATCCTCTATCCGAGGTAGGGATTCGTAGATTCGTCAGCTTGATATTTTGATAAACAACTTGACTTGAAAATAAAATTACTTCATTACTTGAAAAGGTATGCTTGATTTAATTTTTTATTGTTCTTGAATCGAGGTCAAGCATTTTAAAACTACGTGATATTTGATGATAAATTATATTTTTTTATACTAAAGACCTTCAGTGATATTTATTTGTACAACCGATGAGGCGTATTTTGTATTTTAATAAGTACAAATAATTACGTTGAAAATCGAAAATTGTCACTGCCATTCCAAATGACGCATGCAAACAGCGTTACCAAACCAAAAAAACACAAAATCTAATACTTGACTTTAGCTTGACCTGCTTTTAAGTCCTTCCTTCTAACCCTTGGATAACACACCCAGTCATGTTTATTTCGGAAATATACCCTTCATAAACTTGCTCTGTTGTAGAAAATGTATAAACTCACAATGGAATTATTTTTGAGGGTAAACGAAAAGTCGCCTTATCTGGAGATACAAGAAGTTTTGCTAAGGGCTTATTAAACATTAAATTCATAATTTTTTCGCGTATATTCAAAAAATATCATTTATATAAGAGGCCTACAGAAATATTGTAGTCAGTTATGTTTTTGGTTATTTTATTAAATAACAAATACAGCTCTGCAGCGAATTTAACATACGAGTTGTATTTTTATCCCCTTCAATTCCTCTATGTTTTTTATATATGCGAAATAAATATTTCAAATCTTTATGCATCTCAACATTATGATTCAATACAATTTTCGTCAGACATTCTGGTTTTTAGGCACAAAATATTTTTTATTTTAACACAGAGATTACCTCGTTATATCTCAGATACAGTAATGGACAAAAGTATGTATATAGACAAATTAATATTGTTCTGTGTTTCTTTTTTAACATGTTTTATTAATACACCAACCCGTATACATAATTCGTTATAGCATAATACTCACTTATACATAAATGAATTCATTAGACTCCTGTCAATAAAAAATTAATTGAAAAAAACTGGAACTATGAAGGACAAAAATATACAGACAAAGCAAAACAATTATAGAAAAAAGAAGCAAAGTTCATTGAATTATAGAAAACCAACCATGTTTGTGTTAATATTTTGTAGCATAACTATTATTATCAATCACCGCCTGGCATCGTCTCGGCATAGATTGTAGAAGTTTCTTGATATGAGATTCATCAATCTGTCTCCACTTTTGCTCTAAAGCGGCGAAAAGTTCATCCTTGTCAACGTCAAATCATTTAATCTTCTACTTATGGTTTTCGTAGAAACACTGAAAATTTCTTTTGTCTCGATTTCGCCTTTTATTTGTCTTGAGATTTTAAGCGGATCTTTGGACGAAATTACTTTTATTAATCTAACTGATCTAGCATTTAGTTTTCTCACTCGTCTTAGAGGCTTCCAAGATACCTTTTTTTATATTATTTTTTTCAATATTGCCCAAACTGCTTTACGCTTCAGCCTCAAATTTTTGGCAATGTCGACTTGACGTTGACCATCTTTGTATAACTCAATGGTCTTAGTTTTCACATCGAAAGAAATTTCTGGACCTCGCGGCGTGGTCTTAAAATCACTCAACTTATTCCACAACACAAACTAATCCTCTTCTGACACGACACTGTACTAAACTAATGTTGAAAAGAATTTGTCTACATATTTTTGTCCCTCATAAAAAAGTGCTTATATTCAGACTTGTATTGTGTTCATTGCAGATAATGTAAAAACAAGGAATTTAGTTTTTCTACTAATAACGCATTTGGTCATGGAGCAATGAAGTATGAATTCGTTTTCTAAAGGTATTTAGGTAAATATTCACATTTGTCTATATAATTTTGTTCATTAGTGTATAGCCGAGTCAATCAAGAAATCAACATTTCTACTTACACGACTTGCTTAATCATAAACTGCGTGGGTCCATAAACTTTAATATCCTTGTAAACGGACTTCAAAGATACAGCTCCGGTACCCTGATCTATAACGACTTCTGGAATGAGGAGTGGTTCACAGCTGGGTATACTTAATTCCGGAATCCCCTTCACAAGAAGCGGCTTCAGCTCGTTTGCCGAATTTTTGAAACATTTTTCCAGGTTAGGATCACTGCGACGGCATACTTTGAAATATGAAGCTGCAAAAAGAACACATGCAATTTTATGTACCATTTCCTATCATTTGACAAATTTATTAGTTTGATTTTATTAAAAAATGGCACAATTTATCGATATTCAATGAGAGTACCTTTTTTATGTAGAAAACCCTAAATTTTCAAAATCTAGAATTGAATTTCAAACATAGAATCACACAAAAATGTTGGGGCCAAAAAATAACCTGTGTCCGTCAATGTTACATACGCTTCCAAACAAAACTGTCTAAAATTGTTAATATTTTTGAGTCCAGCATAAAAAACTAGGCTAGAATACCAAATTTTATGTCTTTATCTCAACACGTTTCGGAAATATTAAGGAAAAACCATCTTCAGGGGAGCCCCTTTAAAAGACCGTAGCGCCCTTAGGGGACGTTTGTCGACCTATGTTTATATAAACTTTTCTTCCTATTTTAAGCTCTAGAAACCGCTGGTAGAATATTGCACACTTTTTTCGGGACACCCTGTATATTGCTGTAAGTAATTTTGGACATAATTATTCAGATATAGCTGAAGTAAGATCGGAAAGCAGTTTTTCGTAATTAAAAAAAAAATAAAAAATAAAACAGATGGTACAATCATCTCATGAGTAGGTTAGGGGCGGCAAGGTCCCTAGAATGGTGGAACAGCCAATTACTGCAGAGGCAGGCAAAATAGTTCATCCAAAGCTAAGCTTTCAGATAGTAGGTATCCTAAATCCAACAGCGGAACGATACATGCAAAGAGGTCTGTTGTGAAGCCCCAAAAAATCGGTGGCTAGGGATTTATTTATGTAATTCTAACTAACGCAGCCCCAAACTTTGAAAACACCTTCTGCTCTCCCGTATGTCAACCGTTAGTCGACATTTTTTCTCCATTTAGTAGAGTGCGATGGGTGGACAAATCGAATGAATTGGTGGACAAATGATGGACAGACGAATGACATAAATCGATTCCTAGCACCCGATTTTTTGGGGCTAACTTTAACTTCATACACCTCATGCAACGCCCTATGACAAGGCTATGGAGTCTGATTAAAGGATCAAGGAGACAATGCATTAGAAAGTGAGGTCACGATAGATCCACTTTGGAAACAGTGCAAGCCACCCCTTGTTTTGTAATCTGCGATCTGTAATCTGTAGGGGTCGCAATATGATTGTTGGGTGGTGTTTCAAGGCTTCTTTTCACATGTATCATTCAAATAACTCACATTGTTAAAAAGTATTATGTTTTAAGTCATTGAAGCCAAAGTAGATTCAACAAAATGCATATTTTAATACTATAGCTTTTGTTCGTCCGACGATAGTATCAAAAATAAGTGATCAGAATAGTTGAATTATCTTGTGTTAAAAAATGTCAAGTAAAAAATCTGTGTACTTACGCAAGTTGTTACTAGTAGCACAATGCACTGCGGTTATAGTAACTAATAGAGTAATTTCAAAATTAGTGAGCATTTTGTTACAAGTAGAGGTGATCTACTCTGTAAGATATTTAGGATTGAACTGAATCCATTTGACATTCATTAGTTGAAAAGAAGTGAAAATGTTTTTAAACAATCATTTCAATTTGTAAATATTATGGTTGATCTATCCTTGAAGACATGTGACTCCAATGTTGTAACAATATTGTTTGTTGATCTAAATATAAGGTATTGCTAAAGAAAATAGTATCAAATCAAAACAATGATGAGGTTTGAATTCGTGAATATTTTGTATCTTTACGGAATATATAATTTTGATTTCACTGATATATAAAGTACAAAAAATATAAGAAATACAAAAATATGTTCATCAGCCCACATTAGATATAAAGGGCATTAGTTTATTCCTTTACTCTTAGAAAAGTTGCAGGTACAGCGAATAAACAAAATTGATTTATGTAGGAGTATAAATCGGTCTAAGAAAGACTCAACGTTTTCTATACAGGGTGTTTCAGTTTATTGTTGCATAACTTTAAGATTCGATAGAACTTTTAAAATTAATGCATAAAGTCTATATAAACATGGGTCGAAAAATGCGTGGCTTCCGAAATACAGGGTATTTAAATTTACTTTCTAAAATAGTTTTTTTTAAATATTTCGAACAATATTTGATGTATAAAGTAAAAATTGGTATACAAGGGTTTTTTGGTACGACAAAGCGAACCATGGGCATAGTTTTACTGTAGCCGCTAGAGGATGCTCTCTACTGTACCTGTAGTGTATTAAAATGACCGAAATTTGTTGCTTAGTGCAATTTTTTGCTTTTTGAATGAAAAAACTGATTCTTCGCACTTTTCAACATAAAAAAGCTCTCCTGTGAGTTTTCGTTATAGTTAGCCGTTTTTGAGAAATATCGATTTTAAGGTTCGATGCATTTTTAATTATTTATGGGAAAATTATATTTTTTTTACATTTTCGATTTGGGCATTACAAGTAATTAAGATGATCGTTTAGATTGTGTTTTTAAACACAGCAATAATTCCTAACTTCAAATAAACACAAAAAAACAGAATATTAATTTGTTTAATTTTCCAATATTATTTTTAACAAATTAAATTAATTATTTACAACTAAAATGCTATTGGATAGTTAGGACAGACATACAAAATCTAAAGTAGTTGCTCGAAATGTAAACCCAATTGTTCAATACACAATTCACATCTACGAATGATCGAATTCAAATAAAGCCTTATTTCATCACATGCATTCCTGATTCTGTCTATTAGCATATCTCTTGTGGTTACGGGAGTCTGGTACAGTTTTTCTTTTAGAAATCCCCACACAAAGAAATCTAATGGATTTAGGTCAGGAGATCGTGGAGGCCAGGCGACTGGTCCTCCACGGCCGATCCATCTTTCTGGATAATTTTCGTCCAGCCAGTTTCTAATTATTCTCGAATAATGAGCTGGACAACCATCAAGCTGGAACCAGGCCAATCTTCTTAAATCTAACATAACATCGTCCCACATATTTGCATGTTCAGCCTTTAAAAATTCCAAGAAGGTCGCAGCATTTAACGTTGCAGGCAAAAGGTAGGGTCCAAATAGTCGATTACGGTAGATACCAATCCAAACGTTCACACTAAATTCATGCTGAAAATTTCTTTCCCTATTATTATCAGTTCTATCAAGAATCCACTGACAAAATGTGATTCTTCGTTCTCCGTCCCCTGGCTGTAGTCCTTGCACAGGTTGCAAATGGTAAGGACGTCTATGTTCATTTATAAGAACACGGTGAACATGGCTTGCTGAAATTCCCAAGGCACCAGAAACTCTCCTAACACTTGTGGTGGGATCTCTATCAAACTCGCGCAGAATCATACGGGTAAATCTGCGCTGACGAACATTTATGTTTTGATCCCTTTGGGGATTTCCAAAAAACCATTTTCAATTATCTGGCGATGCACTCTTCGTGCGTATTCTCTGGCTGCTTCTGCTGCGTTTCCATTTACAAAGCCATACACAAAATGAATATCCGCTAACTCTTGATTGGAGAATAAAAATGGCATTTTTATAAAACTTACAAAAAAAACTGGTAAAAAAAACTAAATTTCGTGCATTCACAATTGCAAAAAAACGTTTCAGGCTTCAACAGACAACAAAACTAACTGTTAACTTATTGACGTTTAACCTTATTCTGCTTTCAATTTCAAAAATATTTGCAGGCACAGCCTACTTCTAAAAATTATCGACATACTGACTTTTTAACGTTATTTTATCATAAATAATTAAAAATGCATCGAACCTTAAAAATCGAAATATCTCAAAAACGGCTAACTACAACGAAAGTCCACAAGAGAGCTTTTTTATGTTGAAAAGTGCGAAGAATTAGTTTTTTTATTCAAAAAGCAAAAAATTGCACTGTTATACATTAAGTATTGTTCGAAATATTAAAGAAAAACTGTTTTCGAAAGTAAATTTAAACACCCTGTATTTCGGAAGCCACGCATTTTTCGACCTATGTTTATGTAGACTTTATTCATTAATTTTAAAAGTTCTATCGAATCTTAAAGTTATGCAACAATAAACTGAAACACCCTCTATACATATACAGGGTGTCCCAGAAATAACACGGCAGAGTTACACGGGAGATAGATTGGATTCAGACCAATAAATAAATAAAAAAATAAAATCAACATGAGCTTAGTAAAATTTTTCTAGTTTTCGAGATATTTACACTTTTTTTCAAAAAAATCACTACTTTTTGCTCCTTTTTTTGCCTGTTATGGCTATAAAGAACTTCTAATCTATAAAATTAATAGTTGGTTGTGACAACCGTGTATTCATTTTATTGAAGACTAGTACGATATGCCAGAAACTAAATTATTACATTTTGTTTCAATGCGAAAACCTTTACTAAAATCTGACTAGTTACCGTAAAAAAACATGTACCAGACTGAATCTGCTGAAAACTAGCTATTTAATGTTCTTTCAAAAATAGTATAATATTTGTAGGTTCTTTTTACTAAAAACTGAATAATTCCAACTTTTGTCATTGAAGTCGTAATACTTGCGAAATACTACAAATAAAAAATAATAAGAGCTGCTGTCTTTTGTGTCCAAATTACAACTTTGTAGTTGCTGTAATAGCTTTTTATTTTAGCAAGTATCTAAAACAGCTGTCCATTATCCTTTTTTATTCATTGTTGTATGCAGGCATCAAAATAATGAACAGAACATTAGGTTTTATCTTTTTACTTCCGTTGACTTTTTTTACAATATTCAAATCAAATAAAGGATTAGGGATCATTATTAACACCTTAATTAACTAAATGAAAATTAAATTAACATCTTGTAATGTAAATATTGCCTGAAATAAATTATTATTATTTTCACAATAGATTTATATACTGTCTGCCACCGGCTCTTATACACAACCTGCATCTTCTCAAAAATTATCCTTTTGAACTTCTCAAACTTACATCGGATATTTTGCGTACTGCTTGACGTATTCGATGACGCAGTTCATCGGCTCATCGAACTGGTTTTCTATAGACCTTATCTCTTAAACATCCCCAGGAAAAAATCCAGAGGGTCCAGGTCTGGGGAGCGTGTGGGCCACAAAATTGGCCCTAGCCAGTCAATCTATCTTCTAGGTCAGAGTTCCCCAAACTTTTTTGTGTCGTAGACCCCTTGCCATGTTTTTCTGTGTTGGGTAGACCCCCTACTTACCTGATATTGATTTCCTGTAAATTTCTAACTGTACTGAAGTTTAGTGTTAAAAACTTAAAGTGAAAACACTTGTTAATTTATACATTTATTAATTGAATTTAAATTAAATCTACTCAAAATAAAATTTTGTATCTGTTATGTAAAATATACGTAACATTAAATAAACAGGTGTCTGACCAATAAGTGCCCGCATTGAGAATAAGCGCCCGCATCGAAAAAAAAAATAAGAGAGATAAAATAAAAAAAAGTGTAAAATAATAAAAAAAAAGTTTTTTACTTAAAATAGTACAATAAGCGAGTTCGTTTATTAATTATAACATAAACGTATGTTCTACAATAATTTCACTGTTAGTTTCATTAAATTCCGCTTCTTATATGTTTAAGTTATCTAAAAATAGGCAAAAAATTAACGAATTTTAGTGTGTACCTATCCTTGAATTTTCAGAATAATTTAAAAAAAATATTTTCTATAAAGGGGGGTTCTTTAAAAAATTCAATGCGGGCACTTATTCCCAATGCGGACATTTATTGGTCAGACACCAATAAACATAAAATAAACTAAGTATAAATAAAATACCATAAGCAATAAGTCAATATTTTTAGTGAGAAGGATGACCCTGATGCTTTAATAATAAATTATCAACATTTGGCGTCAATTTTGTAAGGGTTAATCTTAAATCTCCTCGGCTAATGATGTCCAGTCTGTTTCTTTTTTTCGTTAGGAGATTGGTAACAGCGCTGAACCCCCTTTCCACTAGGTATGATGATGGAAAGGAAATGAAAAATTTCCTCGCTATATTCCATAATACGGGATAAGTAACGGGTATGTTGTTTTACAGCCAGAATTGCTGATATCCGTTTTTAAACTGAACCTTAAGTTCTTCGTTTGTACTTAGTTCAGCCAGTTCCTCTTGTATTATGACATTCGTTTCTTCTATGTCACCATATGGATTAATTATCCACGGTGGTATTACCATAGTCAAAACATCCTCAAACCTATATTCAAAATCTGAATAGAGGGCATTTAAATGTTGAACGTAAGTTGAAACGTCGTCTTCCTGGCAGCTTGTCTGTGACAAATTGGGGAACTGAGAAAATTCGCCCCGTCCAATATTTTGCTTCATTAGTTTAACTCTGGGAAGAAACGCTGATAAGATGAACTTTGTTTTAATCAAATTTAAACTGTCGCCTTGTAATTGCAAATTAACCATATTAAATTTTGTAAACAAATCTGTTAAATAGGCGATGTCTGTTTTCCTCTTCATTAAATTTTCTTTTAAAATTTATCTTTAGTATCCAGAAATTCTAAAATATTCTCAAAAAGTGCAAAAAATCTTGTCAAACATAAGCCTTTCGACAGCCAGCGT